CCCATACATCCCGTACATCCCGTACACCCCGTACACCCCATACATCCCGTACATCCCGTACACCCTGTACACCCCAACATCCCGTACATCACGTACACCTAGTACATCCCGTACACCCCATACATCCCGTACATCACATACATCCCGTACATCCAGTACATCCCATACTCCTAGTACACCCCATACATCCCGTACATCACATACATCCCGTACATGCAGTACATCCCATACACCTAGTACACCCCATAAATCCCGTACATCACATACTGTACATCCCATACACCCCATACATCCCACACATCCCGTACATCTCGTACATCCCATACATCCCATACATCTCGTACATCACATACATCCCGTACATCCAGTACATCCCATACACCTAGTACACCCCATAAAACCCGTACATCACATACTGTACATCCCATACACCCCATACATCCCACACATCCCGTACATCTCGTACATCCCATACATCCCGTACATCTCGTACATCACATACATCTGGTACATCCCGTACACCCCGTACACCCTGTACACCCCATACATCCCATACATCCTGTACACCCCATACATTCCATACATCCTGTACACCCCATACATCCCATACATCTGGTACACCCCATACATCCCGTATACCCCGTACACCCCATACATCCTGTACATCACGTACATCCCATACACCTAGTACACCCCATAAATCCCGTACACCCCATACACCCCGTATATCCCATGCATCCCATACATCACGTACATCCCGTACACCCCATACATCCCGTACATCCAATACATCCTGTACACCCCATACATCCCGTACATCCCATACATCCCATACATCACATAGCTTTTTATATTCTGGACTTTGAAAGGATGTATAGAAGACTGCAGATAAACAGGTACGACTTACGTAGGAGGATTTGTTTCATCTCTGTGTATCACCTGAGGCCAGTCACTTCACTCGGTATATGGAAGGGTTTACAACCACTTTAATAAAGGCGGAGTTTCTCTTTAATGTTGTAGGTGAAGGTCCATTTATTTTGTTAGCGGTTTCCATCGTCTCTACTTTATTAGGCTCCATGTACACTGCAGCTGATAAACTGACGTTTAGGAGCTTTTCTGCGTTTTTTTCAGCAGCCCCTGAACTCCCCCTAATGTTCTCCTATGTGTCCATGTACACATCTTCCTTTACAGGCAGTTGAGTTTACAGTCGTTTTTTTGAATGCACCAAACTTGCGTTCAGGAGTAGATTTTACCAGAGTTTCAAACACTAAAACGTGTAAACGTGGCTAAACGCGGCTAACCGTGTTCATAAGTGTTTGCATTTAGAAACGTTTTTAACTGTTCCAGATATCCAGATGCTGTCCAGAGCCTTTTTTCATCATCAGAAATGCATGCAAAGCATTTTTCCATGTATTTAAATGGACCCGTAACACCAGCGCAATCAGTTCCAGGTTTTGCGTGAAGGAACAAATGGAAGAATGCTGCATTATGATGGGATCCATAGTGAATACAACCAGAAAAGACAGGTCATCTCAACACATACTGCTCCCTCTGCTTCTACTCTCTCTATTCCTCTCAAAATGTCTGAAATAGTTACTTTTTTCCCATTGCCCAACGGATAAAATTCAAAACATTAGCAATCACATATAAAGCCATTTATAACTCCGCCCCAAATTACATCTACAATCTTGTCTCCAATTACCACCCAAACCATCCTCTCCGCTCCTCGCACGACCTCCTGCTATCTAGCTCCCTTGTCTCCTCCTCCCATGCTTGTCTCCAGGACTTCTCCAGAGCTTCCCCCATCCTCTGGAACTCTCTACCCCAATCTATCAGACTATCGCCTACTCTGCTCACTTTTAGGCGATCTCTGAAAACCTCTCTCTTCAGGGAAGCCTATCCTGCCCTCAGCTAATAATGGAATCTTCTACTCTTCCAACCAGTCCATCCCCTACAGTTACTACCTTTTGTACCACTAGCCCCTCCCTCTTAGATTGCAAGCTCCCAGGATCAGGGCCCTCCTAACCCTGTTGTATTGAACTGTATTGTTGCTGTATTGTCTCCCGTTATATTGTAAAGCACTGAGCAAACTGTTGGCGCTATATAAATCCTGTATAATAATAATAATAATATTAATAATAATATATAAATCCTGTATAATAATAATAATAATATATAAATCCTATATAATAATAATAATAATGTCTTAGATTGTAAACTCCAAGGATCAGGGCCCTCCTAACCCTCTTGTATTGAACTGTATTGTTGCTGTATTGTCTCCCGTTATATTGTAAAGTGCTGAGCAAACTGTTGGCGCGATATAAATCCTGTATAATAATAATATATAAATCCTGTATAATAATAATATATAAATCCTGAATAATAATAAATAATATATAAATCCTGTATAATAATAATAACTTTTTTACGATTTTTCAGTGCATTCTGGGCATTTGGGAAAGTCTCTTGAGATTAACTTTTAAAAACGCTTCTAAACGCAAAAGCACATAAACGCGGTATACAAACGCGGCTAAACTGGCGTTTTTTAACCTCCATTTTCCAGCAGTCAGTTTCCATCGTTCAGAAGAGTTTTCCAAACGCCCCGTGTACATGGAGCCCTTATGGTATAAATCTATTTCCTACTTTTTTTATATATATAATTCAGTTCCGCGTGTTATCTCCTGCTCTCCGTGTGTACAAAGCTGAGTTAAACTTTAAAGCCGATTTTATGCTGCAGATATCTATAATAGCCCGCACTTTTCTTCAGCAATCCATTCTTGTCAATTTCCAGCCCATGATAACACTAATTTTCATGTCACAAACTACAAACTAAATTGTCACCACACGCTCGGAGGAACAATGGCTGCTCAACTAGTAAAGCCAATTATAGCGTGTTTTCTGTGTCTTTTTTTGGCAAAATAATAATAGTACACTAAAAGAGCATTGTGTTTCTTCTCCAGACCTCCTATGTTATTGAGACATTTCCAGAGGGAAATAGAAGAGCCATTAAGTGCTTATGAGAAATATGAGTTGTTCAAGCAGCCTAAATGGGTGGCATGGTGATGGTCACCATACTTGGGACCATTTTTGGGATGTTTCGTTGAAGGACACTGCAGGTCCAATAGGATCTATGACTACTGACAGAACAGGTGTGTAGAATTGATAGAGGTGGACTAATAGAAATGAGGTCTTGATAGCAATGTAGCATCGAAAACAATCCTCCTTCAAAGGGGCTGAAGTGCAGTGGAGGTGCAGACCTTGTTTTGGTCCCAGGCTGCTGCCTCTCTGGTAGCCTCAAAGAGAATGTTGAGTAGATGACAACCTCTGAGGTAGTATTGAGGAGCTCCCAGTAGAAAAGTTTGTGACTCTGAGAGGTCATATTGAGTATTCAGTGATGTTTCTTCACACGCAAAGTCTATTTACAAAGGGTTCCATTAGGAGAACCTCAATGCCCATCACAATTGCCATGAATGCCTTTTATTGCCCTTCTGCTCTATACTCTCAGGAATAGTGGACAACTCAATATAAGCTCTACAAGGCTAGTAGTAATTTATTCTATAGAGCACATGTGTCAAACACAAGACCTGAAGGCCAAATCTGACCCACCAGGCCATTTCATGTTACCCTCGCACCTCTCCTGCAACTGTGGTACCTTCTCGTCTATACTCCCACCTTGTCTCAGCAGTCAGCAGCAGAGAGGAGGACAGAACTCCTCCTACAGATCCTGCTCCTCTCTGTGCAGCCACAGCACCTCTCGTCTCCACCTCCCCTGGTCTCAGCATTCAGTAGACTCAGCAGTTGACTACAGCCCTCCTTTGGGCCTCCTCTAGACTGCACATTCTGTTTCCCAACACCACCCCCAGCTTTTTGCTGGCAGGAGCACAAGGTATAGGGGGTGCACTGTGGTGTAAGGGCCCTCCTGCAGACCCTGCACTTTCTGCTTCCAAGCTCCGCCCCCAGCTCCTTCCTGGCAGGTAAGGGGAGGGTGCACTGTGATGTAAGGGACCTCCTCCAGACACTGCACTTTCAACTTCCCAGTTTCACCCCCAGCTTCCTCATTGCAAGAGCACAAGGTAAGATGGGGGGTGCAGTGTGATGTAAGGGATTGTGGGGGACTCTTGACTTCTGATGGTTGGGGAGCTCTTGACATCTGATGTAAGGGGGGTTGGGGTGCTCTGGACATCTAGCCTTACAGATACAACCGGCCCTGCAAGGGCAAGCATAATGCTGATGCGGTCGCCATTTTGAAATTGAGCTTGGTACCCCTGCTATAGAGGAAGTAAGGTCCTGCCTGTTCTGAAGGGGAACACTCACAGGTGTGTGCACCCATGTGATGATTCAGGGTCATCTTCCTAGAGAACTGGGTCCTTTTTTAGGTCTGCTTCCCAACACCAACAACTGCCTAACACCTCCCCTCTCATTCTCAACCTTTTTAACACAGGGGAACCCTTATAATAACTTTCCAATCTCAGGGAACCCCTGCTAAAAATTACTATACCTACAACAAGATCCAGAAATTGCTCAAGGAACCCCCGGTAACCTCTGGAGGAACCTTAGAGTTCCATGGAACCCTGGTTCAGAAGCCTGCTATATACCCCTAGTCTTGAGCCTGTGGTTGACAGCTGAGGTTGCATGACACTTCGATGGTGGGACATTAATTAAAAGGGTCCTATACCCTCCCACATGCTGAGTATTTCTATATTCAGTTAAGTTCTAATGGTACTCTGCCCTCTTCTAGGTGGGGTAATATATCTACTGCACTCCTGTGATCCACAGCCGAAAGAGCTGTAAACCCAAAAGCAAACATTTATCATATTGCAGCTTGCCAATCCTTAGATGTGATGGGTGCATTTGTTTTCTTTTTAGGCTTCCTTCCAATTTTACCTGGTGATCCAGCCGTTAAGCCTGTAGTTTTTCAAAAGAACAAGCTCTCCAGCAGAATGTATCAGTTACAGGGATGAGACTAACCATTCACCACTGACAAGGGTGCATACGATCAT